TTATCTCCGAATTCTAGACTGAATTCTATAGGATCCTTAGAATCAAGAGAAAACTGTTAATGGCTTACTACCCCTAGACGGATGGACAGAGTGAGATCGCAAATTAATATATAGACTTCGGCACAACCCACTCTAACCCGGACCCAACCCAACCCAACCCAACCCAAAATGGGTTTTAGGTCCATTGCTTCGACCCAACGATGGGTTTTGGGTTATAGCTCATAACCCAAAACCCATTGGGTAACCCATTGGGGCCCCAATATAGTGCAAACAAAACAAACCAAAAAATTATATGGTTGAAATTCAAAGATTTGAATATATATATATATCTAGCATAGTAACTCAATTTCAAAACAAAAACAAATTTATATAAAAAGCATTTTATACTATTAAAAAAGTATATTAAAAAATGCCAAGACTTGGATTTTATGAATTTTATGAATTTTTATGCAAAAATGGGTTCAAATGGGTTATTATTAGGTTATTGGGTTTAACCCATTGGGTTTTGGGTTGGGTTTTGGGTCGGACACTCCGACCCAAAATGGGTTCTGCCGAAGTCTATTAATATATAGTATAGAGATTACGACCGTATATCGAGTAGAACTAGGACAACTAGTCGGAGATCTTACCGATAGTTGATTTCGCTGCCTCGATCCTCCCTTAGGATACAATAAAGAAGTCACCTTTCTTTGTAGAAAGAGGATACGAACCTTCGATAACGTTCGACTGGAAAGATCAGGAGACGGTAACTCTAAACGAGTAAGATACGGTACAAATACTCTCCGAGTTATAGGACATCTAGACTCAGACAAAGGAGCAAATCGCGAAGTCGCAGTAATTGCAGATTCGTTAAGCGAATAAATATCGTCGAGAAGAGGATTTCGGAATTAGTGATTCGGTATTCGTTACAACTAAGGACTAGTTATAAGATCGATCTAGCAGGAAGCTTTCCTATCTAGCGAGTGGACTATATAAGATTATCGAGAAGGTAGGCAACTCCTACAAGATAGATCTTCCGGAAGCGATTCGAGTGTACCCTATCTTCTATCTAAGCAAGTTACGGAAGGTAGCGACGACAGAGCCTCTGGAGGGACAATATATAGATCCGTCTCCACTAATATAGGTCGGAGAGATAGACGAATAGGAAGTCGAAAAGATTCTAGACGTCAGATTGTACTATAGGAAGTTACAATACAGAGTACAATAGGTGGGACATAACCTCGATTTACAATAGTATCCTGCCGGCGACATGAAACATACACTAAGGAAAATACAGGAGTTCTATGCGCAGTACCCTGCAAAGCCCGGTCCCCCTATACGTTTATAGGAATGGCTTAATGCTGATGAAGAAGACCGAGTCCTCGAAGATCACGTTGATGACAACAAGCCAGTATTCAGGGACTGAATGCATTCTTAGTCGGGGGTTATGTGACGATTGAGACTGAACTGTACTATCCTTTCTGCCAGTACTGGCCGCCTGCGGGGGTTTCTGCCAGATGTCTCCGACTTGTAGATGTTTGCATGGTTTGTATGAGGAGACAGGACTAGGACCCACAAAGGTCCTGCCAGGCAGGTTTCCTTTCTTCTTCTTTCCTTTTACTCCCTGTACTTAATATTCTCGTTGAAATGCACTCTTTTGTTTAAGAACTGGCTGGTAACAGTTACTACCTCGTTTGAACCAATCAGTAATACTGAGGAAGATATAGTTTAGACTGCGACATCGCCCGTCCATGGGCACCTAGAAGGTGCCCATCGCCCGTCCACGGTGGGCCTTGGGCTATTTGGATTTTCGAGTGCCCGTCCATAACGCCCAAGGCCCACGGGCATGCCCACCATTATATAAAGTTGTCTTAAATATATATAAAAATTAGATATATAGTAAATTATAGTATATATATTTATATATATCTTATTAAAAATCCGGAATTATGATTGTAAATATATAAAAAATATAAATTTAGTTGAAATATTTTGAAATCTGTCAATTAAAATCACGTGTTGCGCTAATTTTGCTTACTAAAAAGGCCCACGGGCGCCCACGGTGTCCATGGACAATGGGCCCTAAGGGTAGGGCCCGTCCATGGGCGTATTGATAGTGCCCATCGCCCGCTTACATAAGGCCCGTGGGCACTGCCCACCCGCCCGTCCATGGGCGATGTCGCAGTCTAATATAGTTAAAGGAAGTCAGTCACTACCTACTTTACTACCATTACCCAATATTGTACTTAGGAGGAGACAAAGAAGTGGCTCACTAAGCGAAGGCGATAAGATACAATCTAGTACCGAGGATAGTATAGATAAAGAGGGCGAAATTCCTCTCCCTCGATCGTCTAGAAGAGTTCGGAAGGTTTTAAAAAGGCTCAATGAATATATAGTAGTCTAGTAGATAGGAACTAGGTTCAAGAATATAACATAAGTTTTTATAATAATATATCACCAAAAATTAATGTTAAAGAACTTCGGACATGTAATCAGGATACTTAAAAATATAGGGCAAATCTACATAAATTATATATGTCACGAGATTTGCCTGTTTGTCTCGTTTGACGACCCTCAGGGTCGGAAGGTTGGACCCTCGAACCGCCCCAGTGGCGGGGCGGTTCGAGGGTCGTGAGGGTCACCCGCGGGTCACTGCCAGGTCTACTAAAGCTTATTTTTCTTACCTCGGTTAGAAAATTAGTAGTAGTATTAAATTATTATACTTCTAAACCTACTATATACTAATACTACTACTATATATATATAATTAAATTACTTAAAAATATAAAGAAAAAATAGATATATAATATAGGTTATAAGATTAAGGAATTCTACTTAGTTACTAAAAAGGCCTTAAGGCCTATAGGTAGTATCTACCCGCCTATCTATAGGCGATATCGTAGTCTAGATATTAATTTCTATACTAATAATATAATATTAAGAGTAGTTTTAAAATAAAAGGATAAAATAAAGACCTATGGTATCTAATACTAGACTGCGACATCGCCCATGGACGGGCGGGTGGGCAGTGCCCACGGGCCTTATGTAAGCGGGCGATGGGCACTATCAATACGCCCATGGACGGGCCCTACCCTTAGGGCCCATTGTCCATGGACACCGTGGGCGCCCGTGGGCCTTTTTAGTAAGCAAAATTAGCGCAACACGTGATTTTAATTGACAGATTTCAAAATATTTCAACTAAATTTATATTTTTTATATATTTACAATCATAATTCCGGATTTTTAATAAGATATATATAAATATATATACTATAATTTACTATATATCTAATTTTTATATATATTTAAGACAACTTTATATAATGGTGGGCATCGTGGGCATGCCCGCCGTGGGCATGCCCGTGGGCCTTGGGCGTTATGGACGGGCACTCGAAAATCCAAATAGCCCAAGGCCCACCGTGGACGGGCGATGGGCACCTCCTAGGTGCCCATGGACGGGCGATGTCGCAGTCTATCTAATACTATAAAAAAAAAAAGGATTTATTATATTTTAGTATAATTTTTAATATATATAGAGCTTAGTTAAAACTAGAGAGTATAGTATATATATAAATATATATATCTCTACTAACTAACTATAATACTAAGTTAACAACTTCTTCTTAATCTCCTATACCTAATTTTATATATTTGAGCTTACTTTTACTTGAATATAATATTTAAATATATAGCTGAGATATTTATCTTCTATTTTTAATAGTATACTATATAAAAAAGTTAGATTGCTATAAACTTGAAGTGAGAATGTTGATATACCTATAAAAAACAGTATTTTATCTGCTGAGTTAGCATTTTTGTGCAACTAAAATAGGAAATACTTAGCAAAAATATGTATGCTATGGGACCATATAGGAGTCCCATCACTCCCATGGGAGTGATGGGACCAGGATATGGGACCAAAATTTTTCTAGTCCCATGGGAGTTGGCAAGGTCTATGCTGGACCATCCACCGCTTTCCCCTCTTTCTCCACAAGCCCGATGCATGATCGAGGAGGTTGCTGGAATAGCATCCCCGTCCAACTTGCCCCCTCTCTGAAGAAGGGCTCATCATCCTGAGGATGACTCTGAGGTATCTCTACCTCTACTTCCATGGGCGGTGGTCCCCACTCCTGTGCCCGCCTTCCGCAAAACCATGGCCATATACAGTCTTTTATTAATGGGTTGCGAATCCCCTATACCCTTGCGGCAGAGTGTATCGAACAGGCTTCAAAAACAGGGCGGCTTGCAGGTCGGACGAGTATTTGATTAGACCGTGCCATCTCCGGCAGACCCTTTGCGCCGACGTGAGTAATGTACGCATGTCGGTTTTGAGCAGGATCATCTCGAGGATCTCGGTTATAAGAAAAATCCTGTGTGGATTTAGAGACTCCATCTTTCAAAAACAAGGTGAAAGGTGTGTTATAGTAAGAAGATGGTTCTTCAAGAAAATATTGGCCATACGTTAGTAGAGTACTCAACTTAGGTACAGTTTCGGGCAAGCTCTTCCAAAGTTGCCCTAACTGGCTTAGTCGAGCGGGTGGGGCTTACCTTTCCAAGGTTCTGTACAACGGAACGACCCAATCATTTCATTCCAAGCCTAGCTATATGTAGGCAAGGGCGTTCCTGACAAATTTCCAACGTTCCTTTACGACTGTTATTGTCCAGCCCTTAGCCATATATAACCCTACGGCTAGGCTTTATACTAGGGCTTAGTATTATACGGTCTACTCCGGGGGACTACCTAGAGGCGAGGTTTATACTATCGCGGGAGGCTCTTCTCCTTAGGATTAGGTGGAATTGAATTGATGAGTTTACTGATAGAAAAGAAAGACTGGTAATGGGTTGACGATAACTTAAGAACTACAATTACACCGCTGGGGATTGTCCCCCCAGCCAGCGGAGGCGGTCTTCCACGCCCGCTCTCCTTCCCTCCGGCAGAAAACATAATACCGTCCGTCCTGTATCCGTTAATTGATCATCCCGAGAATTGATCCCTCAGAGATACCCCTGAAGACTTGCCGTCACCCCCGACGACAATTGGCGGAACCCTTCATCTCCCCCTTGGCGTTGACGATAACTCCTGCGCTATCCTCAAGGTACAGGAAGATACCGTCAGGGCGGCGCCCGGCTTGCTCGGGCAGACAACGACAGCGAGCACAACCTTCTGCGGAGCTCGGCTTTTCCTTCTTGACGGTGGCCATGACCATGTCTCCGATCACCAGCAACGGGGAGATGGTTTAGGCGGGCTCTGTCCATTTTATGCATTTCCTTCATCAGAATCGGTCTCACTATCGAGACCTATGTAGTCCTTCGCTTCTGGGCGACCAGCGATCTGTAAATTGAGGGCACGTTGTTGAAAGTCGTTGTAGGCGCGGGAGCCATTTTGTATGTATTCCAGGTGCATAACCAGGTGACGCGTAGACATCTCAGCCGTCATAGAGAGAGCCTCTTCCTGTTTCTGTTCGTCAGACGTGGGTACGGTCCGGGCGACCCCGAAACCCTCCAGCGTTTCCTCTCGTCGCAGGACCTCTGCTTCCAGGGCTTGTCTCTCTGTAGGCTCAAATCGATAGGAGGCCGCTCCTGTAGCTAGATGGAAACGATAATACAAATCATAATAATCTAGCCTCATGGCGCGTCTCTTCGCATGTTTGGATTCTTGTTCGGGCGACCTCGTTAGCAAACGTGAACGCTTAACAGCCTTGGGTAACTTCCTCGGGGAAGCCGACGCGGTCTCACGAGCGGAGTCTGGATGCGGGTAGAGTCGTTCCTCGAAGTCAGCTGGTCGATGAGGCTTATTGACGTCTGAGGAACTCGGGTCGTCGCTAGATGGCATAGGTGTAACATGATCCCTCTCGGAGCGCTTACGGGCCGGCGTCCGGAAATCTCTGTTCTTCTCTGCGATCCCTGCAGTGGGATTCCCTCCATCCACGCTGGATTTCTTGCCCATGTCGACCTCCCTCGGTGGGATATTCACCCCCCTTGATTTCGTAGGCGGCTCCTTGGGATCGGGCGCTGAAGGAACCAATGATCCCTTGGGGGTGTGAGCTTCCTTGGACGCAGCGACAAGTTCGTTGGCCCCCGCGGCTGGCTCAAAGACAGACGCCGCGGGATCCGAAGTTTTCGTAGAGATGTCGGTCACCTTGGATACGACCCCTGGTCCCCGGGATGCGGTATCCGGTCCTCGCGACTTGGTACCAGACCCTATCGGCTTCGTGCTTGGCTCCTTTAGCACAGTCGGAACCGAGACCTTCTCGGGCCTATCAGATTTCTTGGATTCAGCGTCGGGTCGAGCCGGGGGCTTCTTGGGATCGCCGGATCCCTTAGGTGAGGCATCGGACTCGGTTTCCTTCGCTACCGGCTTCTTGGGAGCAGGTGCGACTGGGGCTACAGATTTCTTAGAGGTGTCAGGTTTCGTAAGCGCAGTACCTGACCCTTCCGACCCCGCCGACGCTGGTGGATTAGACGATTTTATCCGTTTTCTCAAGCCCGAGGGTTGCGTCCGGTCGTCGTCCCCCTCGCCTCCCCGTATCTTTCTCGGGCGATCTGCAGATCCTCTCTGCGAGGTGGATGATTCATGCTCTTCCTGGCGCTGTTCCTCTCGTCGTTTCTCTATTTCTTTTCGGAAATCAGCTGCGGTGCGCTTCACGGCCTCTCGGAACGGATCCTCCACACGTTTCCTCGTGATGCCTAGGTCTTTCTTCAGCTGGTCCATGGCCTCCTGGTCGGCTAGATCCTTGTCCGATCTCTCCCAGTGTGATCCCTCCGGCGGAGCTGTTCGTTTGTCCCAGCTCGGAGCTAGCCAGTAGCTCAGTGTCGTCGGATGCACGCTAGGGTCCTGGCTTGTCTCCTGTTGGTACTCCCTGCGCTCTAGCATTTCAGCCCTGCGTCGTTCGTCGCGGATCTGGATGGACTTTTCCTCTTCCGGGGTACGGGGCCAGCAGACCTGGTCCTCCGCAACTGAGCTATGTATCACTTCGTTACCACCAAGCCGCCCCTTCTTTTTGTACGTGAACTCCCTTAGCTTTTGGAAGACAATGGCCTCGTAATCGTCGAAGCCCGCTGGACGACGGCTAGGGACCTTAGTCCCTGTCTCCGGGATTGCGAGTGGAACCGATGTCTCCTCGTGATCCGTCGGAAATCGGCCGAATATCGATGCCCCCCACTAGCTCTAGACGCATCGGGGGCGTCTTCATATCGCTGAGAGACTCGCTCACGAGACGATCCAGAGCTATTAAGGCTTCTCCTAGTAGATGTCGGTGAAGAGCACGAGCCCTCCGTGTCGAGAAGAGAGTGTTACTATGCTCCGCCAGGATTTGATCTCGTACGGTGACCATAACATCGATATGTCTGGAGAAGTTCCAGAAAAGTTCCTGGAGCGCATGCTCATCCACCTTCTCCTCGAGGACACTGTAATGATGGTATGGTGTAGACTGGGCGCTATTTATTGCGCTGTTCATGCGTTGGACCACCCTCGCGCGCTTTTCCCATGGATCGACACTCCTTCCGAAGTCTCGATCGCGGAAGAGAGGGATAGGATAATCGTTAGAGATCAGCCGCTTCTTTCGTCTCTCTCGTTCTACGACTCGGTAGTCGTCTAGGAGGCTGCTCTGGAGAGTAGGGAGGTTCATCGCGACTCCCATATTCCACCGTTCACGCATCCAGGCGTAGAGATAGGACGATTGGGCTTTATCCTTCAGGCTTTGCAATACCGTATGTTCCCTAAAAAAGCTGACCAAGGCCGCGGAGCAATTCTGAGCTTTAACTCGCTTTGGGATCGACCGCGGCAGCTCCCCATAAATATTGACCATTCCTACGTTCCATCTCGCGACCACTCCGACTGTAAAGTTCGGAAAAACCACTCGGTAGTACATTCTCGGCCCGGACGTGGGGCTCCCGCGACGGAGGATTGATAGGGGTGAACGGGGGCGTCATCACGATGATCCGATCGTGCTCTGGCGGATTTGAAAGAGAAGGTGGAATCAGAAGGTAAGGGATGGGATATAGTGGGGGTGGATGAGAAGAGTGGGAGCTGGTGGAGAGAGGGAAGAAGAAATAGAGAGAGGAAGAGAGAAAGGAAGCAAGAAGGGAAAGAGGGGAGTAAGAGGGGAGAGTAAGAGGGGAGGGAGGGTCTCCTCGATATTCTCTCTTCAGGCAGTCGCAACGACAATAAAACAAAATAATACAATTCGTCATGGATATATTTCAAACAAAACATCGTCCCATGATTCGGAACACGTCCAGCAACAACAATTCTCAACGACATTCGAATCCTCCGATGATTCCGACCGCCCTCGTATTAATAACTCTCGCGGCGACACTCCGCGGGTCCCTCGTTCTGACTCTCCAGGTCCTCGATCCCCCCGGGGGCCGGATCCTTGGCCTACCTGTACTGTTGACGGGACCCATCGCTATCAACAGACCCGATTCCCTGCATCGCTGAGATGCCTATGGAGCCCAGCAGAGATCGACCGACCGCTGCCCTAGGAGCAGAGCCATCGATATCGCCGACCGATCCACTTCGTACGGTGGCATGGGAGCCGTCCATGGGATCACGCTGTCATTAAAATGGAATTCTTCATTCTCGCGACGGTAGTATAGACGCATACTTGCTCGTTTTGGATCCGTACAATCGAGTCACCATGGGCCGAAACCCGGCCTGGGTTGATCTTCACAATCTTCCTGGGCCCAAACCACTTCGGGGCTAGTTTATCTTTGTTACCTTTCTCTCTCAGATCCCGGACGAGCACTAAGTAAGTGAGTCCCCTCTTGGAAAGCTTCGCGCCGAGAATTCGACTTCAGGCGTTCTTTCTCCTCCGCCAAGGCATTAGTCAAAGCGATTGCCTCCATGTCTTCCTGCCTGCGCTGTCATACTGTGGCTCCATCCTCGTGATCCTGGGGACTGGACCTTCCTCCCGGAGACGATACCGCTCTAGACAGTTTGCCCTCAATTTTGTCCAGTCTCCCAGAGCCTCACTACTCAGACGGTTGTGCCAGGTGTCGGCACGTTCTACCACATTTTGTCTGAAGAGAAGTCGACAGTCGCGGTCCTTCTTGTTTTAGGGAACTTTCTCGTCCGATTGGTGGGCTTCTCCCTCCCTTGGACTCAGCTGTTCCTAGTTCGGAAGGCTCGTCCCCGATGACTGCCCCTCGCAGCTCTTGCCTAGCGGAGGCAAAATGGGCAGTGTCTGCTAGAATGGCACCAGCGGCCAGCTACCATAGGTCGTCACTATCAAAAGGCTTCGAAAGTCCTTCCTGTAGATCTCCGGGGGACTACCTAAAGGCGAGGTTTATGCTATCGTGGGAGGCTCTTCTCCTTAGGATTAGGTGGAATTGATGAGTTTCCTGGTAGAAAAGAAAGACTGGCAATGGGTTGACGATAATTTAAGAACTACAATTATGTCGCTAGGGATTGTCCCCACTAGCCGGCGGAGGCGGTCTCTCTCCTACGCGCCCTTCCTCCGGCAGAAAACATAATAACTACCCTGTCCTTTAACTACCCCGTCCGTTATCCGTTAATTGATCCTCCCGAGAATTGATCCCTAGGTCCTTTGTCCCACTTGTAGATCTTCAATGGAAAATTCATGGCCTTGACAGGGGGAAATTCGGAGATTCCCGAGATCTTACTCTTGTATTCATGATGAATAAGAACTTGATTAATGGTAGAGGCTAATCCAACCTAGAAAAATGGAGATATGACCTGTGAATAGCTTCGAAAATACAATTGAATTAATTATAGTATGGTGGAAATCTGTGCGATATCAATTGTGGGGCAAGCATAAGATCTTGGCTAAGCATTTTGGGGTAGCCTACTCCGTATACCATCTCAAATTCGGACTAAAGTTGCTTCCCCTTCGCTCAGCAAATCATAACCCGTACACACATCCACCCCCGGTGGTCGCTTACAGGTAGCTGGTAACTAGTACCTACTTATATTTATATATTCTTTATATCCCCTCCATTGTTTAAAAGGTATGTAGTCGATACCCGATTTTATGCCTAGACTTTCGGATCTTCAGGTCATAAGCTTCATTCCCCCCCGGGGAAAACTCCGGGGTTTTTTTTGGTTCATGTTTATGTGGGATGGAAGTGGAGCATGTGAAATTAATTAAATGCGATGTAACCCCCAAGAGGGATCTTGGCAACATGATAATGATGTGAATATATTTGTATAAAATATATGTATATATACCTAGGTATGCCATTATCTTAGGTAAAAGAGGCTGAGAAACAGATCGAGATCCCACCCAGAGCTATGGACATATGGACCATGACACAAGCCCAAACTCCAAGAAATCTCCAAGGGAGAACTCCCCGAAACAAGGAATATAGAACCACCAGCCCTGTACATAATAGGAACGCGATGAAACAGCTCGTCCCCATTTCCCGACTTCGAATGTTGTTGGATGTGATCCTTTCCGACGGGGCTGAGCACCTTCCATAAGAAACAGTACGACACGACGACGTGTGATGGGCCGAGACGCTAAGTTTGGATAATAACACCTTTGCGGCCGATCGCTTCTTCAATATGGAATCCAAAGACGAGTCGGTAGAGGTCACGGAGCCAGGAGTATTGGCCGCTTTGCAGCATTGCCTGGCATGCATGCGCGACATCAATGGCACTCACCCGGGCTTGCAGACCAACGCTTCTGAACGTCGGGTCAAACGCCACAACCTTTCTATAATTCTTCAATAAGGACGTCTGCCACATGGCGGAGCCAAATGCATCCGACGGAAGTGATTTCACAAAAGACGAGAGATTCTGCTTCCCACCCCGTTGATAACCACTCATGATAGCGGCTTTAGTGATCAGGATCTTTAGTCGCGTGAGGTTCGGATCTTCCGAGATAGTGGTCACTGTGTTGGCCGAGGATGCCGTGTGACTAGATGACCTAGACTGCTCCGAAATGCTGGATGCATTGGATGACCACTTGGTATGAGGGTTACTATGCCCGTTCCCATAACCCAGTACAAGTATATTCGGAATCGGAGCGTCGTCAGGTGAGGCCGTTGCAGTGTCCTCGAATATGGTGGTTGGAGTCTCGGGGTTGCCGAGTTGGCTCATTGGGTCGCCGAAATCTAGCTCCGATTGTTGCGACGTTTGATGAAATACCTGCGAGAACGTGGTTTGGCTCGGACGAGGTGTTCCCCGATCCGAGTTGCGCAAATTATGGAGGGTCCAGCCCTCACGGAAAAGATCGCAAAGCTCCCAGCAGGCTTGAACCGCAGACCCCAACAACTCCTCATCCAGTGGCTTCTCTTCCCTCTTGCTTTGGCGAATGCTGAACAACATCTCGGCTAATGTCCAACATGCACTCAGCAGAGAGTCTGTCTCCGTGATGCGGGTGCGCTGCTTCATGAGACGGTGGCACAAGGTAATATAGAAATCCAAGGTTCTTTCGCGAAAGGCATCGGGAAGATTCCGATCGTGAGTGTTGTACAGATGGTTATTCAGCTCAAAACTCACTCGTAAAACCGAGTCAGATAGGTCAGTATCACGAATACGGGCTTCGAATAGCGCCTGGCAGAAATCCCGACAGAGATCAAGAGTCGGATGGATTTGCGATGCGTAGTCGTCATCGCGTGTGTCATAAAGTTTCTGGCATAGTCTCCAACATGACCGCCATGCATCCTCTTGCATATCATCACTGTGGGATTTGAGGAGACGTTCTCGATGAATATAACTAAGATTGGCCAGCGTATTGCATAGTGTCCAGCATTCGTCGAGAGCAGCTCTTAGGGCATTGATTTCAGCCTCTTTGCTGGTTAGTCCTGGATCAAAATTAGTGTCATTTGCTACAGCTCAAATGTATCTGCGTTCATGTTATACCTTCAGGGATATCTTTGGAAAAGGGTCAGCAAGGGCTATCATGGATCGACACATGACTTAAAAATAAATTGGCTATATTACCTTGTAAGCTACTCGAACGAGTGCGTCTCTCAAACTCTTCAAACTCATATCTTGTTTGTGCGCGTGGTGTCGCTCGTTCGGTACAATCGTTGTCGAGACTGAGGGATGTTGTCAACGGAGGTGGCGATATCGGACTATTGCCGAACTGCATGCATAATTCTCATTAGATATATAACCCGGCGAGGGGCTATCATGAAAATACTTTTCTCGGCCTTGGAGGTATATTTATTATGTCAGTTTGCTCATCTGAACCGACTGATGGCGACTGTGACTCCGCTGTGTCCTTGAAAGTAGGCTGCATTGGCGCCTAGGTAGATTCACCATTAGCCAACGCGACAGTAATCCTCGTGGGACTCATACAAAATCACCAAATCCTGGCGGAGCATGTATCACCGACTGTGGTTCATCGTCGTCCGATCTGCTGTTTCCCACATGATTTGGGTATTCGGTTTGAATCTATAGTGTGAGCCCGACTGAGATTCCTAGCCCACAATTTGTACATACTGTAAGCTCTGGCTGAGGAGGAGGAACCCCAGATCCACGTACAGGATCAGGAGAGCTTTCATTTCCCTTTGAATCATCGCAATCATCGCAATCGTCGCAGTCCTCTTCATTGGCCGAGGCCCCCGATAAGCTGTTTATCGGCTCAGAAGCGGAGAAGCGGGAACTCTCATTCCCATCGAGGATCCCATCGAGAGACCTATTTTTATCCATCAGCGA